AGTGGAATTTTTCCTGTTAGGGCAATGAACAGCCTCAGGGGACCATTTTCATTAGTACTTTGGCTAAGGTATAAGGCTACACCACCACCACCATATGCTGTGGTCTCATTCATGCATGGGCCCCTATGTTGCTGTGTATAAGAAACACAGACAAGCTGATTCTGACTGAACACTTAATGAAATATATAGTTCAGTCATCAGGAGCTTGTAGAAATAAGAAAATGTATCCCACCCATTATCTGGGTCTTGGGACTTCCTGTTCCTTTTTAGAGCCTCCCCCGCCCTTGAGTGGAGTCCAGAAAGGAGCCTTGCCAATTCTGTGAACTCTTGAATTTCCTTACAAATCCTGTAGAAGATAATTGGAGCAGGCAAGGGAATGCAATGTGCAGCAAAGCTCATGAAAAGTCCTCCTTCTTTAACATTAGCACTTTTACACGACACTTCTTAATTGTTCCATTCATATCTCCGTGTTCACATATATGCACTACAGACAGATACATTTCATGCGTGGTGTGTATAATCCTGCATGTGGTTGGTCTCCAAGGCTCTTTGTGATAGATCTCAAGCAATCATTTGTGCATCCACCCAGTTGCCACTACTAAACCTTTGGGGTGTAAATTGTAGCTTTTAAGAGTTTGGTTGTCGAAGCCTAATACATAAATTTCTTCATAAAAACTGTTAATACAGACTGCAACCAATTGTAAAGCTAATTTTAATTGTGTTTCATGCCAGCATAATTTCTGATGCCAGATTTTTATGCCAGGCATGAACTCCAATCTGAGCTCTGTACTTTAACTCACAGTCCATAATTTTGCATTGGGCTGTACAAGTTCCCTTTGGCTATGGCAGTTTGAATGCTTCCACTTTCAAGGATCTAAGCCATAAATGTTTATTAAAAGAATCTATAATGAAATCATTTTTGTTATTTTTTAATGGCTGTCTTGAGTATGTTGGATGACTGAATGCTGGTTGTTAATCATTAAGTACTCATGGTATAAAAACTGCTTGATAGTATTGCCATCTAGGGGCTAAACGGGATTCTCCATACCGAAATAAACTGTAATTGAACAGGTGCTACTATTGACAATATGCATATGTTTTTCTTTATAGCCCACATGCTTCCTGTGTTTCTTACGAGAAAAGATATCTCTAAAAGTCCCAAAGCAACCGATATTCTTTAAAAATATATAATACGTTCCAGGTGATTTCTGTAGGCATTTAAACTGTCCTCTGTTTTTGGGTTCATAACTGATCACAAAGGGGTTTTAAAATTATCTAAACTTTCCCGCGCCAAAACAGGGGTTTTAACCTTTGGTGCGTCAGTCTCTGTTCAACCCCATGAATTGTGCATGTGACTTTTTTTTTTTTTTAAAGGAACTGATGATCACCGTTCCTTCTATTTCCAGGTTGTGAGTGCCATGGCTTAGGTAAAGTTCAAGATTTGTAGAAGTAAAAAAGGGGGGATTTTAAGGAGGCATGACTCATGAGGGAGCCAAGTGAAGACCAAGCATGGTCAGGGGCCATGAAATGCTAACTGCTTGTAAAAACCAAGGGCATGTGGATGGGATGGGAGAGCTTCAACTACTGCCAACCATACTTCTAGATGGTGGGTTCCTATCACTGCCAATCCTACTGCTATTAGCTAATGACCGCATGGTATGTGCATTAGGCATGTGTGAGGACTCTGTTTTGGAGGTCGATTCCCTGGGCTTGGCTCCCCAGACTCTGGCCTGCTTTCTTGCAGCCATGAGTCCGACCTCCTGATGAGCACACCCAGTGTTTGCATGAGCATCTGCCAGAATCACGTCCACATGAGCACTGAGCAAGCAGCATCCCTCTTCTATGCACATGACCCGCAGCTTTGGTTTGTGTTGCACATGCTAGTTGTGCAAGCAGAGTTCCACAAGTATTCGCAGACTTTCTCTCAGCTTGGCTTGCTTCCAAAGCAAAGGCTGAGTATGAGACTAAGTCCAACAAACTGAACAAGACCAGGACTGAGACGAGATCATTGCAACTCTAATGTGCACTTCACTGGCTATGTTTGCACATCTGGCTCTCTCTAATCCACCCAGGCAATAAGCCATGGAGGCTTGGCTGTTTCACAGAACAATCTAAGGTGTTCCAGGCAGACAATCGGGCTCACCATGCTTGGTATCTTCCAGAAACTGCCTTTCACAATCTCCAACGTTACAATCAGTGAAATCCCCTCCAAAGTACCCAAATGACTCCCCTTTCTTTAAGAAAACTTTCCACTCCAAACAATGCATTTTTCATATTATTTCCTTGTCAGACTTGCCAAGTATAGTTTCACAAGCCTGAAATAAGAAGTCCCACCTGGGCAATAATCTAAAGGATACGTGCTGCAGATAAAAACCCTGGACATTCACCCAAGCTTCCAAATATTTTTGTCTTTCTAGTTTGCTTTCCACTGGCAGCTGTCAAAGGCAAGCAGCCAAGAGAAAGCAAAGCAATGACTGATCCTTGCCCATGAAAGGGGACAGGCATCCTGTCCACCCTTCATAGCAGGTTCCTCGGGGTTTCGATTGTTCCCCTGTCTTTGGTCCCACTTAGGATGTGTGAGGAAAATCCACTGGATTCCTTCGGCTTGGCTTCCTGGATTCTGGTGCACTTTGAAGTCCCCCAGACTCCAGGTTCCTGGCAAGTGTGGCAGGGCTCACAGGGTGCTTGCACAATCAGACCTGCAGCAGTGACTGAGGAAGACAATTGCTTTCTCTTCGCTGCCCCCACTTTCCCTGTGTGCCACCACTGACAGTGGCAGTGAGCAGGGGCGAAGTTTGGCTGCTGGGGACGGTGGCTGGTGTAGGTTGCTGGTTTGCAACTGGGGACTCACAAGCCTTCATGAAATTCCTCTTGGGTTGGTAGATCCCAAAAAGGGTTCATCTCAACCCTAGTCCCAGTACCACAACCTGTCCACCTAATTCTGAGGTTTTAGGTGCTAGGAAGGTGAAAAAGTCTAACCCAAGCTGCTTTTTTGCTGACACTTCCTTTGACAGCTGTGAGAAGTAGGGCTTTTTAAAAAGGAACAGGCAAAAAGGGACAGTTTGGACAAGAAAGAATGCTGATTTCATATACATACATCTCAATCTAAAGGAGTTCTGCACTTGTGCAAATCCAAGTAGAAAATATTTTTTAAAAAATATGAAAAGTTTGGCACACATTTGGAGAACACACACACACACACACACACACTTTTTAAAAAGGAGCAGCCAACCAGTCACAGCCCCATCAATATGTCACATGGGCACTTTGGGGGGCTGTTACTGGCAGTGGCATGAGATCACCCAGGCTGGCAATAGTTTTTGTGCTTTGTTTTTTGCCACTCTTGCGTTGTGTCTCACTTGCCACTTCTCTTTAGCCACAGTGGGATCAGTCACCTGGGTCTAGATAAGCCAACAAACTACCAAGGGTAAAAAAAACCCTTAGAATATTCCTGGGTTTTTAAGAACACTTCTTTGCAAAAGCAAACCAACCTACAGCAGTCTGGGTTGATGACGTGCTAGGTCGTTACTCACAAAGAGTTGTCATGACATCCAAATTAGGTCAATATGTTCCATCTACAGAGTGGTCACAACATGGTCATGTGGGTTTTGTTGCCATGTTTTCTTTCCCAAACTCTTCATGGTTGTCACACCTGGGATTCTTAAACAAGTGCTTTCCAGAACCTTTTAACTACTGCCTTTTTATATGTGCTTATAATTTTTTTAAGAGCAGGTCCCGATCATGGCAAGTGGATTACACATTCACAATAAGTCTGTACATGCCCTCGCCACGATCTTATTGCAGACCCGAGACACATCAAAAACTAACATTGCCTTTCTGGACTCAATGGGGCTTACTTCTGAGTAGTTGTGCCTAGAATTGCACTGTAAAATGCAGTACATATGATCCCAATATACTGGTTTTTACAGCTATGGGATAATTTAACTCATTCTTTTTCTTGCCCTGTGTGAGTAGGGTTTCCTAACAATAGCTATCCTTTCTCTCTCCATTTCCTTTTTCATTATTAATCTCACCAATGTTTGCCCTGTTTAACAGAAAAAGAACAATAATTGTCATTGAAAAGTATATTTATAATCAGTACTGGTGGCACACTGAGTTTTAATATTCAGAATGGACATTCAAATGCTGAACTATATTTATCTAAAAGGAAAGCTCATTGTTGTGAGAAAATAACTATTTAAATATTTATCATATAACTTTTAATATTTTAAAAAAGAAATGATTATTTTTTCTGCAAAAATGTTTCTGAGTCTGGTAGTGTAACAGATATTTAAATATTTAAAATGTTAGAAGTGCTGGCTTTTAAGCCACTTAACACAAAACTGGAGAATTGACTCCTTTGTTCAAAAGGGAAAGACTTAAGTTCCACAAAATAAGAATGGAGGAAATCTGCTATAATCTAACCAGTTTAAAAGAATATAATCAAACATTGTAGCAATGGGAGCTGGGGAAATTATGAAAGATTTACAATCTTTCAACACAACAAATTACTGATCGTTTTCATGCTACAATCCAGGACAGAATTTGACAGTGGTTTTCCATTGTTAAGGTATGTCAAGACAAAATTTCACTCACGTGAATCTCGCCTTCATGTCTTTGCCTTATGCAAAAAAAAAAAAAAAAAAAAATACAGAGGTGGTATAACATCAGCAATGGAATGACGCCTTCCCTGTGAATGCAGTGGATTAAGTTGCAATTTAAGTTTAAGTTGCAATTCTATCCATGTTCAGATAGGAAAAAGGCCTCGAACTCCCTGCATGCAATTGGGAGTTGCAGGCCTTATTTTCTGCCTAAAATGTATAGGATTGTGCCCCTAATCACATCCACATTTTATCCTTGGCATTTGCTTCCTTACAGTGTTCCTGTTTTGTGTAATAGTCTTTGCCCTGCAAAGTAATAACTGGATCAGAGTTGCGTCCAGCAACCCACCATCATTGTTTAACCTTGATGAAAGAGAATTCTGCACCTTTCTATTGCAGGGACAGACGCATCACACTCACTTGTTCGGCTTGAAGCCATTCACAACCTACCATATTTACATTGTTGCGGTCAACCGTGCTGGGCAAGTGTCAAGTCCATGGACGTCCGTGCGCACCTTGGAAGCTCCCCCAAGTGGCCTGAGCAACTTCACTGTAGAAAGGAAAGAGGACGGCAGGTCTCTGTTACTTAAATGGGCAGAGCCTTCCAAACCCAATGGTAACATTAAGGTAATCCAAGCTTAAAATCTTCATTAATCAGAGTGGAAGATATAACTATGAGCTTGTATGTTCTTGCTGAACACCTAGCCATTTTCACAGAGCATAATAATTTTTGAGGTTTTGTGTAGGGTATGAATTCATATTGCATCAACATCCTTGGCCTTCAGTGCTCCAATAGGGTTCATGCTCACATTTGTTCTTGCCTTGTATGACATGGTCCCTTCTACCATTCCAAAAAACTGTCATTTTTCTCCCTGTAATGCCCTAGAAGTCAGTCCAGGATATTTCGCACATAATGCCCATGGAAGTTGAGTTGCCTGGTGCCATAAATGTAAGCTTCCAAGGGACGGTTCACTTGATGGCATTTTATCAAGGTTGCCGGCAACCCTGAAGGTGGCCTTCAACAACATTGCCCTAAACCAGTGGTCCCCAGACTTTTCTGGGCTATTGCCGCCTTTCCTCTTGGGCTACAACCCTAGTGTCCCCACACCTCTTTCTTTGTATTAGCTCTTTTTCTGGATTGCCAATTTAAAACACTGAATCACCCACCCCCTGGATATTTCCACCAACCCCGTGGGGGCAGTACCTCCCACTTTGGGAATCATGGCCCTAAACTATTCAGGTGAAGGATAACACTCTCTGGCTTACTGCAGGAGGTTGAATATGTGGACACCTTTAGTCTAAAACTGGGTTTGGTTTGTTTGGTTTGGGTTTTTTTGGTCAGAAATAGCTTGGAATGACTTCTGTCTTTTGCATGGTTTTCTGCTAAATTTAATTCTTATTGCAAAAAGTTTGGTTTCTTTTGCACCTTTCCTTTCCCTCTTTTCATTCCAGAATTGCAGATGTCCTCCAGATGTAGACATCATAGGAGAGGTTTTAGCAATCATTTTGTAACTAGTGAAAGCCTGTGTTGGTGTAGTTAAGAATGTGAGTCTGGAACACAGGAGATCTGAGTTCTGCTCCCCACTCAGCCATGGAGCTAACCGGGTGACTTTGGGACAGTCAGAGATTTCCAGGCCAGCCTACCTCACAGAACTGTTGTTGTAAGGGTAAGATTGGGAGGAGGAGAATTATGTAAGGTGCTTTGAGTTTCTTGAAAGGAAAAAAGGCAGGATCTAAATAAAATACATAATGATTGGAATTTCAAGGAATATGCATGTTTGTAACCAAGCAAAGGCCCCAATTTTCACACTTATGCAACTGCATTCCGGCATGATTACACTAAATAGTAAAATGAAATTAAAAATTGCCAATCGCTGACTGCCCTTCAAAGGTGCTGTTTGAGTACTTTGAAACTGCTGTCAGTGACCATCAAACTGAGTTTGTGAAAACTGGCTGAGGGAGAAGGAGTGGGTGAAGAACTCTTACCAAGTCTGGTGGACTGTAAGGTATACTACAGGTTGTTTGGCCAACAGTCAGCTCACAATGTCTTATTGCCTAATGCACAGTTCTCATTTTAATGTTCCAGAATCTTAGCATATCTTATGATGCCAGAAAGTGTGGAGGAAAAATTAAGCTATATATGCCAGGTGACATGGGAAAACACCATACTGAAAGCCTTGCACAAGCTGTTTATTGTTTCCTGCCTAGTCCCTGCCAGTTTGCCTGATTTTACAGCTTGAAAGAGCAGCAAAACCAGGAAGTCTGTGAGAGCCTTTTGCACATATGAAGGACCAGGAAAATAAACAGAAAAGTCATTCAACAATAATTTTAAACCTATATTTTTTCCCACATGGAAGAATTTTGTCCTTGCAAAAATAGGGAAAAACTGTTTTCTCCCTTATTCTTGTCTGGCTTACCCCCAGTTTTTTCCGTTACACCTCTAGGGCCTCTGATAGGTTGCCATTCATAAATAGTGGGCTGCTTTTGGTAAGATTGGATTGTCAGTGTATGAATGTTAATGGATAGACTTTCTTTGTCCTTTCAGACCTACAATATTTTCAACGATGATAACCTAGAATACAGCGGTTTATCTCGTCAGTTCCTCTTTCGACGCCTTGAGCCTTTTACTCTTTACACCCTGGTCCTTGAAGCTTGCACTGCAGCTGGCTGTTCTCGCTCTTCACCCCAGCCAATCTGGACAGATGAAGCCCCTCCTGTATCTCAGATGGCACCTGTAATCCAGTCGGTGAATGCAACTAGCATTGGACTGAGCTGGTCCAAGCCAATTAATTCAAATGGAAAAATAATACGCTATGAAGTTATTCACAGATGCACCAAAGAAAATGCTTCAGGGAACAATGCAACAACAGAGGAAGAGAAAATTGTTCTTTCAGAATATAACACTGAGAATAATACATTCGAATATAATGCACATCATTTGCAACCTTGGACTAGCCATGAATATAAAATACGTGCCTGGAATTCAGCAGGCTACGCTGATAGCTCTTGGACAGTCGCAAAGACCAGCCAAGCTGCCCCAAGGGGCTTGGCTCCACCTCTCTTGAGGCATATCCCAGCAAGCCCCAGCCAAGTGCTGATTTTGTGGTCCTCCCCAGAAGAACCCAATGGTGTTCTTCAGTCATATAGGCTCCAGAGAAATTATGTTGCCTATCCTTTTAGTTTTGATGCGACTACTTTTAACTATACTGATGAAGAGTTGCTGCCATATTCAGAATACCACTATGCAGTAACTGCTTGTACCATGGGAGGTTGCTCCACCAGCAACCACACCAGTATACGGACCCTAGAAGCAGCTCCAGCCATGGTTGATCCTCCTATGCTAAATCTGAGCTCCACCCAAATGAATGTATCTTGGTCAACACCCCAAATTCAAAATGGAGAAATCACAAAGTACATTTTAAAATTAAATGGAGAAGAGGTCTATATTGGGAAAGGATTCTTCAGGACTGTGTTGAACCTACAGCCCTACTCCGAGTATGATGTCACACTGCTTGCCTGCACAAGTGGAGGCTGCACTGCCAGTGCATCCCAGTCCATTAAGACCATGGAAGCTCCTCCACTTAACCTAGATGCTCCAAGGTTGCTAGTAACAGGTTCAGAATCAATAGAAATCACATGGAAAGCTCCTGCAAATCCAAATGGTAAAATCCAGATGTATGAACTGAGGAGAAATGGGTTACTGGTTTACTCGGGTATGGATACTCATTATCATGACTTTATGCTAACTCCAGGAATAGAATATAGCTATGCTGTAACTGCAAACAACAGCCAAGGAAGTATTACCAGCCCACTGGCTAAAATTAGAACCAATCCCTCTGCCCCTTCTGGAATGTCACCTCCTAGGCTGCAGGCATGGTCTTCGGAAACAATATTGGTTAATTGGGATACTCCTGCAAAAGTCAGTGGTGATATTATCAATTATACAATCACCCTTCGGGACCCTATTATATCAGAAAAGGAAACTGTTCATTTGAATTCTTCTCATGTTTCATTTGGAAGACAGTCCTACACTTTAGCAGGACTAAAACCCTATCATAGGTAAGTTGTGGAGGCATCTTTCAATGAGTGAATATTGGGTATTGCCACAAAAAGGAAGGGCGGAGTCAGGCTAAAATGAGTAGCCTTGGATTACTGCAGAGTGTTCAGCCCTGTGTCTACATGCATTAGACGGAACGGCAGCCAGTCTTTAGGGTCACGTGCCAATCTGAACTGACTAGTACTTTTCCAAACTCTAATAATGTTTAACTTTCCTTTGTGGTTCAGCTCCCCACTCCTCTCAAATACATTCTTCTTCTCCCTGTGGCATTTTTCCTTATTGTTCCACAAGGAGGATAGAGTCACCTTTCTGAACCTGATATCATACAGACATCCTGAACTTCAGGTCACATTAGCCCTAGCCAGCAGGGCTAATGATCAGAAATGCTGAAAATTGTACTCCAGAACATCTAGCAGGCATAATGGAAACTGAGAAAGAAAACAAAGGGACAGAGAAGTTAGAACATAAGTGGCCTATTGTTGCTGCACATCTGCAGTTTTCAGAGTGATGAGCTATAAAATGAGAAAAGAGATTAAAAAATAAAGCAATATTAAAAATAGAATATCAATAGAGACAGTGGCTGGTCAAGCAAAGAAGAGTCCTGGAATAAAGATGATTTCAGGATCTTTATTTGAAGGAGGTGTCAGAAACAACATAATATCGGTGCCTGCCTCTGACCTCCAGAGGCAAGGAGCTCCCTAGAAAAGGAGTCACTTCACAAAACGTTCTTCTCTAGGATGGCTCCAGTTGGGTCACGAGTTTATGTGGACCCACCCAGAGCATACTTTGTGATGATTTCAGTGATTGATATGGGAGAAGTTTCTGTCATACAAGAAGTCCATCTGATCCACCATAATCTTTCCAATAGTGGACTCATTCCAATGGGTCTAGAAGCCTCCTAAGTAGGACACAAAAGTAACTGAAATTTAGAGGCCGTTAGTTATCAAGCTGCAACATCATTTAAAGAGATCAAAACAGGGTGAATTAGCATTTTCAGAGAAGGGGTAGAGAGCTTCATGCATAGCATTCCAGTTGGCCCTATGGAGTTCTCTGGGTGGCCCCACCTTTTTTCTCTGGCTCAATCCCCTTTCCCCTAATCATCAAGCATTTGTAGTTTCTTCGCTTTTGTGTAGTTCCTTTCCCCAGTGCTGAAATTTGTCTCATATGGCTTAATTCCTGGAATTAAGAGTTTAAGCTAAATCATGTTGATATTTTTGTTGTTTTCATAGTTGTTGTACTTTTGGTCCTGCCCTTTTTACCTTTGCTTCTGCCCATCACTGGAATGCAGCCCCTGAAATTTCACTTGAAATTGAATTTAATCCTTGGATGAAAGACATTCCCCACTCCTTCTTTAGAGTGTAGGTTCAGATGAGTCCCAAATGTGCTTTAAGTATTGTAAAGGGAGCACATCCAAGAACCCTAAGCACTGAGGATAATTTAAGTTTGCTTCACTGATCAGTAAGATTTAGGAGGTTGGAGTTTTCAAGATGCAAAAGATCAAATAACAGATAAAAAAGTGGCTGAGCAGGGGAGCATGAAGGAGCTAGAATGTAATGTTTACTAGAATGTAATGTTGAAGCAGTAGTCATTGCCAAACATTTCCTATTAATACCTTAAGAACTAATTTCCCAAGGCATAAGACTGATGCTCTGTTTCCAGAAGAAGACAGTTGTGGCAAGCTGATCCAGATATATGCTAGATTATCCATTGTAAAAACTGCCAAAGTTTACTTAGCTAATCAGTTTTTCTTTCGCACATAGCTAGCCTCTGTCCGTGAGATCTTTAATATGCCACTAACTGATCCATTCGAACAGGGTCTTTATCAATAGCTTCAGAAAACTTTGCCTCTTTTTGCTATTGAAGTTTTACCATATGCATAGGCAATACCTCCCTCCACAATGCTTTTCCTAAATTGTAATGCGTGATGGTAACCTCAGACCTGCAGATTAGGAGTGCTCAGTACTTTTCTGCCCAGGTGGGATAAACCCATTTTTTACACATAGTCCTTTCCAGTTTTTCAGCTAGTTCTTTGAACATGCTTTCCCCCATTAATCAAGTGTGAACGTAATGGGCAGGTAGGATCTCACCATAATTTATTTTGTGGAAAAAATTGTGCAGAATGAGATCTAAATTCTAATGGTCATGATGCAGTACCCAGTCATGTAGACCAAGTACTCCACAGCCAATTACAATTTTCTGGCAATGCAATGTGATATGGGTTGGAAAGGAAGGTTAGATCATATATCTATATATGTCATCCTTTTTCTTTAGCAGTACTTATGATGCCAACACCTAAGCATGATCTGTTTTTTTTAGCAAAGTGGTAACTCCTGCTTACTTGATCTGGCTTCAACCAACCTCGGTTAAACTTATGTGTACCTTTCTGTATTGGAGCCAACCCTCATATAAAAGGAAGACCATTTGTTTGATGGGACTCCCATTTTCCCATGTTCTTCTCCTGCTCCAGTGCTCTGCATGCATTGTGAATCTGGTCTGGGAGGTCCCTCAAAGTACAGGAGCTGGCTGTGGGGAAGAGGGCAGGTGATAGAAACATGGAAACAGACCGAGTCAGAAGGGGTCTCCCGGGCCATCTAGTCTGACCTCCGGCACCAGCCGGCTCTGCTCACGACATGCCCACCATGTGCATGTCCAGCCTGTCTTTGAACACCCTGACCAATGGGGCCTCAACAACCTCTCATGGAAGCCCATTCCACACCCTCGGGGTCCTAACTGTCAGGAAATGCTTCCTGGCATCCAAATGGAACCTTGGCTCCCTGAGCTTTGCTCTGTTGGAGTGCGTCCTGCCTTCCTCTGCAGGGGAGAATAGGTCTCTACCCATCTCCATGTGACATCCCCTCACATACCATGTCGCCAACATATCCCCTCTAAGTCTCCTCTTCCCCAGGCTGAAGAGACCCAGTTCCCTCAGTCTCGCCTCATACCCCATCCACTGCAAACTGGCCACCAACCTTGTGGCCCTGTGCTGCACTGACTCTAACCTGGCTATATCCTTTCTGTAATGAGGAGCTCAAAACTGAACACAATACTCCAGTTGCGGGCGCACCAGAGTCGTATAGAGTGGTAGTAATACCTCTCTTGATCTAGAAGCCACACTTCTGGCTATGCAGCCAAGGGTGGTGTTCGCCCTCTTGACCACCGCATCACACTGCTGACTCATGTTTAGCCTGCAGTCAACCAGTACCCTGACGTCCCTTTCACAAGTGCTGCTGTCCAGTCACTTGTCACCTAACCTGTACTTATGACAGCTATTCCTATGCCCCAAGTGCAAGACCTTGCACTTACCACATTGAATGCCATCCTGTTGTCTCCTGCCCACTTCCATAGTCTGTCCAGATCCTTTTGGATCTGGAATACCTGATCCTCAGTTGTGGCCACTGCTCCAGTTTTAGTATCATCTGCAAATTTGATCAGCAGACTGTTCACCCCTTCTTCCATGTCATTGATGAAAAGATTAAACAGGATCAGCCCCAAGACAGAGCCCTGGGGGACCCCGCTTGTCCTGGCCGCCATCCCGATGATTCCCCACTAATGGTTACCCTCTGCATGGTCAGTCAACCATGCCCTAATCCCCCGGACAGTGCTTTGGTGTATCCCAAAACTCCTCAGTTTCTCCACCAGGATATCATGGGGCACTTTGTCAAAGGCCTTGCTGAAATCCAGGTAAACCACATCCACTGCATCCCCTTCATCTAGCCATCTCGAAACCTTTTATAGAATTCCACAAGGTTGGTCTGGCAGGACCTGTTTTTGCGGAAGCCATGTTGTGTGGCTGTCAGCCTCCCTTCCCTAACTAGCATCACTAGATCTCTCTCTATTATGAGCCTTTCCATTGTTTTTCCTACAGTGGACAATTGTTTTTCCTACAATGGACAGTACAAAAAGGCTAACAAGTCTGTACTTCCCCATTTCCCTTCTACTACCCTTTTTGAAAATTGGGACCACTGATGCCACCCTCCAGTCCTCTGGAACTTCACCTGTTCTCCATGAGGCCTCAAAAATGAAGGCCAGCGGGCATGAGAGAACCCCTGCCAACTCTCTAAGTACTCTCAGGTGCAACCCATCAGGGCCTGGCGCCTTTGTAATGTCCAATGCCCTGAGGAGCCCCTCGACTTCAAGGGGGGTGACTCTAATCTGTGCCCCTAAGTCCCCAGCCTCATCTAATCTCCTATGCAGATATCCCCTGTCCTGCTTTGGGGAGAACACAGAGACAAAATAGTCATTTAGCATCTGTGCCTGTTCCCTCATATCAGTCACTGGATCTCCTTCCTCCTTATTTAGTGGTCCCACCACTTGTCTCCCGTTCCTCTTCCTATTTACATGCTGAAAGAAGCCCTTTTTGTTGCTCTTGATATTCTTGGCAAGTCTCAGCTCATAATCAGCCTTCGCCTTGCGAAGAATCCTTCTGCAATGGGCCTCCTCCTCCTGATATACCCTTTTGTCTGTTTGCCCCAGTACCCATTTCCTATGGAGGTTCCTCTTTCGTCTAATCCCTCTAACCACCTCTTTTCACATCCATGGTGGCGCTCTCCTTCGCCTCCCCACCTTACTAACTAGAGGTATCGTCAAGGCCTGCACCTCCAAAACTTCCCTTTTGAGTGCCATCCACCCCTCCTCAACTCGTGATGGCAGGTGAGAAATTAATTCCATCAGTGGTTCCCTTCCACTGACAGAATGATTTCATTGACTAGAACTATCCATATTTTTGCACTATAATCCACCTAAGGTTGGGGGATCTAGAAATCTAGATAGTTTACCTTTGGCAAACAATCAAGAACTCTGAAATTAATTTTTTGTTGTTGTTTCAAGTGAAGCATAAACATGATCATGAGCCATACATTTTGGGGGCAGAATTCCTAATAAATACTGCCACTCTGCTTTCTTGCAGGCATGTGTATTCCGATGCACATAAAGGTTATAGGCAGGCAGGAGCTTCTTCCTCCATTTCAATAGACAAGGAGACTTGAGCTTGTGCATCTTTTCTCTTCCACTAAATTTAATGAGCAAATGCACATACGAAAGAACGCTATGCGTGCACTAAAGACTCTCAGCCTTCATGTCTGCAAGGCCATTGTGCATTTGAGGAACTCCACTGGATTTACACTGCAGTACTTTAATATGAACACAGGAAAGAAAAAATAAAATGAAAGATCTTTTCCCCCTTTATTTTGGAAGAAAGTATTGTTTTATTGAATAAACAGAGAACAAAGACCACTGCCAGCCTTTTTGGAACACCTTCACTTTAAGCTACCTGGATATGTATATTGGGCAATATGGACCTAGATGTTCTGCAGTTGACTGACTTCTGGTTTGTATTTCTAAAGGTATGAAGTCCAAGTGCAGGTTTGCACACTCCTGGGATGTACTTCTAGCGAATGGGCTTCTGTACAAACTCCCGAAGCACTCCCTGAAACACAGCCTGCCCCTCTCGTGGATGTCCAGTCAAGCCGTGTGGGATTCCGGTCAGCTGTGTCCATCGTATGGACAGGGCCAAAGCAACCCAATGGAAAGATCTTATATTACGAGCTTTACCGAAGACAGGCGACACCCAGCCAACTAAATCAAGACCCGGTACTTGTTTATAATGGCTCATCTACTTCATTCAAAGATGTCCTGCTCCTACCTTTTACAGAGTATGAATATCAGGTATGAAGCTGGGGAACTGAGGAGCTGATCTTTCATGGGCTGTGAAAATTCCTGGGCACTTCAGCAGCCAAGTGCTCTTGCTAAATTTTAGTAGAGTGTAAAAGGCCATGCCTTCAATAGTACTGTTGCCGCAAAAAATCATTACAGATATTTCCAAATGCTTCAGATGGCCACAAAAGCCTGTGAGAGATAAATACACTCCGAATCATTTCTTTACAATTTCCATTTTTTACACAAGCTTATTTTGTGACATACAGAAGCTGACATATTCCCGGGGGCACGATGCCGAAAGGCTGTGAATGTGTTCTGCTGTCTATTTTATGCAGTTACCATTCATTCTTATACAGCACACAAGCATACCAGAAATCTCTTCTTTTTGTGTGTGAGTGTGTGTGTGGGGGGGGTATCTTTTCAGCCTTGTTGACCTGGCTTGTCCCTTTCAAAGAGTTATTTTATTCTTTCACTCATAGAAAGGCCTCTTAGCCATGCCATGGTATGTTTTCTCATCTGGACAGACAAGACCCTGCGAACTTTGGCCCTCTTCGTTCCTGCCAGTGAATGGATGGCCAGAGTGGCCCTGTATGGCTGCAACTAAGAAGTTTCTGGCAGTCCAGGGAAGCTTGTTTTCACCACTGGTTGTGGCTGTCCAAACACTTTATTTCCAAATCTTCCTAATGATGTCATTTTCCTTAAACTTCAGTGAACTTAATAGCAATGAGGTAACTACTAGGATTCTTTCCAAAGTAGATCACTTTATTTTAAAGGCAGATTGTCTTTTTCTTCTATCTCTCTCTCTCCCTCTCTTTTCACCGTTAATGTATTCAGCAGATATTTTTCCTGCCTTTGGACTCTTTGTGAACAAAGTTCATTTTGAAAATACTCTGTTACATTATAGTCAAAGTAATCATTTTTATCTGAAATCAAGTCATCAATATCGTTTGTAAGCAGTGTGACTCTCTTAATGGACTAGACTTCTGGCATGTGAGATCAAGGGACTGGGGAAATGAGGAAACAATTCATGGAGATCAACTGGGGATTTGTTTAAGTTGTGGGCTCACTAGTTTCTCTTTATCTGGCATAGTGCCCTTTCCCATTTATTCTGTGCTTTGGTTTCTCTTGGCAATTCAGTACTAGTTAAGGTAGGTATGTTTTGAATGGACAGACTGCAGTGTGAATAGAAGCAAGTCTTCTTTCGACATCCTTAGTTAAACTGACTGTCATGTATGCAATTTAATCTGTAGGAACTTAGTATACCTCAGCTGACCACTTTTAAACAATGGTGGTATCTAAGTGAAATAGGTATGAACAATTTATGCCCAAATATTCAACAGCGTTGTCAGCTTTTGGATTGAAGGTTGTAATTCTGCTGAAGACCTTGAGAGAAGTGGCTATAAAAGGTTTTTTACCAAGTAGAATCCAGCTGGATGAGACCATATGGTGGCAGAAACATTTGATGTTTTTCATGTGCATCACCACCACTGAATTGGAATTCAAATAAGCTGGGTCCAGTCAGATGTGCTCCAAGGTCTTCTCCACTTGCAGTTTATTAATCAATTCTATATTAAGTCCAAGCTGAGGCTTAAATCTGAAGTCCACGTGTAATAGGACTATCTTCTTCTCTTCACTCTACCTCTCTGTGCCGTGTGAAAACCTGCCCCGAGAGTTGCTCAGCTCCCAGAAAAGCTTTAGAGGATGCACAGGTGCCTGCGAGGCAGAATTGTCCCCATAGTGGAATGCTGTCCCAGCAGTGGACCGGCAGCATTGAACCCTGCCCTGAAAGCAGTCAGTTCCGGCACTGCTTTGGGCCAGTTACACTCAGACTGCGTATCTGCCAGCAATTATCAGGTTTATATTGAAATGGGGTGGGAGATATGCACACGAACGCATATATGTTTTTTCCTCCCCCACTGATGTGACATGTGGTATCCCTCAGGGATCTATTCTTAGCCCACCATTGTTGACAATTTATATGTTGCCTGTGAGACACCTTATTCATAAGTGTCGGGATTGGCTTTCACTATTATGCTGATGAAACCCAGATTTATATTTCACTTAAGCACGATATTGATTCTGCTGCCTCTCTCTTGGAGGCTTGTTTGCTGGCCATAAAATTTTAAATGCAGCTAAATTTCCTCCAGCTGAATGAAGCTAAAATTAAGGCACTACATCTAGGCCCTTTGCAACACTTCAAAAAATGCTGTCAGTCATCAAGGTCCAGCTTGATGGGTTTGACATTAACAGCACAACTGAGGTCAGAATTTTTTGTTATCTTTCTTTTATTTCTGAAGCTTTAGCAAAGTTCCATATGTTTAAGGCAACATGGGGAAGAAATGGTAGCTCAGAGGTATGTACATTTTTTTTAAAATCTGTTCAATCTGCATTGCTTTGAATTTGCCAGTCTGCAAGTCCAAAGAATATGTATGACTGAGAAAAAGCAGGTCCAGCACAGAATGTCAGATTCACAGAACTCTACACCTATTTGAATCTGTTTTGGATTTTTCTAATTCAAAGAAAAGATTAATTCTTTTAATCCTGGAAACTAATTCAGGAAGTTTCCAATATTTTGGGGCAGTGAGCACAGTTGAAATGTTAAGAGAGGGCTGTGGTCCCTCTCACAAAATAGCCAACCTGTGTCCATGCGCATGGTAGGATCAAGTACAGGGCATGTGACAGACCTCTGCCTGAAACCTTAGAGTGGCCCTGTTCCTCAGGAAAAGCAGTAATTTTCAAGTCAGAGCATATCCATATACCATGAGAAATAAAACCTTGGCAGACTAATAGGTTCTACTAGGGTTGGGTAATTCTACCATGAATATTTTAGGTGTTCTTGGAGCATTCAGTTGCCCGAGCAGAATTTCTATCTGTAGAAGGACTGGCCATTGAATGAGAGGCTGGCCTACCTGAGCAACACTTTGGGGCTTCCCTGCTCCTTTTGATTAGAGATGCCTGGAATAGTGACTCATGGAAAAACATGAATGTGGCCTCAACTGGGGAAAGCAGTTTTTCCCAGAATAAAAGTTGATAATGGTCCTGGTTGTAATTCTTAAAAATGTGTCTCGTCTTTGTGAAGTATGGGTAACCCTGTGTTTGTGCACCATTGGCTGATAGAATTTCCATGCTGTGCCAAACCAGTAGCCAGTCTAATTCCGCATTCTGCTCTTCTGCAGAGGTCTCTTTCTTAGTAGCGTGTACAAATAAGACGATATGCCAGTATAGCTTTGTTGTTGCTAGTCATCCTCCATCAGCTAGTTAGAATGAAACTGTCACTGAAAATGGACATTTGGCTATTATTACCACTAACCCCTGAAAGTGAAGATGCCACAATTTAGTAGCTACAGACAGCAGATTTTTCTTGTAAGGTTTTTAAGATGTTATTGTTTATGTATTCTCATAGATTTTCCAAATTTAGGCCAGAATCTGTATTTCTGCTCATTTCCAAGGGAATCTGATTATTAATTTTTCACTGTATATACTTGTGCTTCTCCCAGAAAACTTCTCCCAAAAATACATGCACCATTTTGAAGGAAGTCCATAGAGATTCTCTTTTGGTACAAAAGTTCTGGGGCTTGCCCAAGGGATTTGCATAGCCTTAGTTTCTATTATCTTTGTAAATAGGGAGTGCAGAGCTTATCTAAATAGCATTCTACTGGAGATTATACTTTATGATATAAATTACTTGTGCTAGGGATGCCCATCTTATCAGAGAAATTGTCATTTGCTCAAACCTGTATGAGCAGAGCCTTTTCACTTGTGGCACCTGGTTTACAGAAAACTCTTCACTTGGAGGCCTGCAGGGCTGGCTTCCTATTGGTCACCTATTGTCCTTCAGGAAACAAATAACTTGATAATAATTTCCACAGGACTTTGGGGAGGTATTTTTCTTCTTGCTAGAACATTTTATACAGATTTTAATTTACTTATTTTGTGGAATTGTATATTTTTAAAATATTTTTATTGGCTCTATGTTTAATAAAGGCAGGGAGGTGATAACAAATGCATTAACTGAATAATGGATAAATAATAGAAAGAATGGGTTAAATCTAATGTTACATTAGGAGCTGTCTGCTAACACAATGGGACTTTTTCTTTCTTTTGTCTCTGCATTGCATTGCCCCCAAATTTTCTCTGCAGGGTTCCTGTGAAAGCAGATTTTGAGGGTGTAGAGGGGGGATCAGCCTCTTCTTTGTTCTGCAGATGAAAGTAGTTCTGTCAAAGGAATGACCTCATGTAATCCAACCCAATATATGTTAGTGTTCTCAGCTGATCTCAAACTATCCAGAAATCTTCTAGTTATATGCAAATGAAGGAACTGTTTTTTGCAAATGAACATTTTTACCACTGCAAATCTATATGGAAAACAAATAAACAGTTTATGAATCTATGTTTATTCATTAAACCAAACAAAGGTATCTGAGTTATTAGTCGTACCAATATCAGTTATGAGCCTCTTTAAACTCCACTCTGGCAAGATCTAGACTGTGTCTCTGACATACTCAACCACCATGACAAGCCTATCTTTTAAAAAGACATTAGTGTGAGTGCCATGGGAAAATACACCCCAGGGCTGTAGATGAATTGATATGATTTTCTTGATTGTATCTTTTTATTTATAAGACATAATTTATGAGCACTGAAAAGCAAACTAAAATGAGTGATGACTAACTACAGCCAAAGTAATAAATCAGCAGCACTGAAAGAAGTAGTGATTTTGATCGAATCTATTGAATTAGCTGTTGCCCTTAGCCATTACAGGTATTGGAAAGACCTTTTAATATCTGCTTATCTCACTCTTGGGAATGTTTTAACTATCTCATTATGTACCCATAGGAAACAAATTATTAAATTGTCTGCCTTTTGGAGTTAAACATGTTTGCATCTCATCTTTGTTACTGATGCAATAGAATATTAAAAGGAACAAGGATTGCCTGAAACTTTGATAACCTTTTAATGTCAGAATTATAAAATACTTTGCTTTATCTCTACCATGAAGGGAATCAGTT